TCTCTCTCTCACACACACACACACACACACACACACACACACACTCATCCACCTGCTCCTGCCCACCCCCCACCACATTGCACTCTCAAAGGTCATTGTCAGCTATATAGCAAATTTGAGACCACCCTGAGATTTACAGGACCCTATCCCCAAAAATTATTTCTAAAAATAAATTTTAAGCAACACTGTTGTAGAATATTAGTTAAAGTTGTGTTACATGTCTTTGTGCTGTGGTACATTTGTTTAATGATGCAAAGATATGTTGCATTCTTTTATGTTGCATTTCTTTAATTCTGTGAGCTGTGTTACTGTGCCTGTCTAAAACACTTGATTGGTCTAATTAAGAGCTGAACGGCCAATAGCTAGGCAGGAGAAATGATAGGCAAGCGTGGCAGGCAGAGATAAATAGGAGAAATCTGGGAAGAGGACATCAAAGATTGATGAAAAGAAGGGGACAGCTACACAGCCAGTCACGGAACAAGAAGGAAAGAAAAGATATACAGAAATAGAGAAAGGTAAATGCCCAGAGGCAAAAGGTAGATGGGAGATGGGATAATTTAAGTTAAGAAAAGCTGGCTAGCCAGGCGTTGGTGGCGCATGCCTTTAATCCCAGCACTTGGGAGCTAGAGGCAGGTGGATCTCTGTGAGTTCGAGACCAGCTTGGTCTACAAGAGCTAGTTCCAGGACAGCCTCCAAAGCCACAGAGAAACCCTGTCTCGAAAAACAAAAAGAAAAGAAAAGAAAAGCTGGCTAGAAATAGAATAAGCCAAGCTAAGACTAGGCATTCATAGGTAAGAAAAAGTCTCCCTGTGTGATTATTTGGGAGCTGGGTAGTGAGACCCCAAAGGTGCCAAAGAGAAAAGCTTAAGGCAACAACAACAACACAACACAACACAATTGTCGAGTCTGTTAGTCTCTGACCAAGACTGAGCAGCAAAGGAGCTCAGAAGCAATCACCAGAGTGTCTCTGTTGCCATCCATGCCAGTCACCTGGGCAGAAGACAACCGTGTGGGCCGTACCCCAACCGCACCAAACCATAGTCCCAGGAGACAATGCTTCGGGTCTGGATTTTAACTGCCAACACAGAGCCATTGAGGTCACATGAAGGCTTGAAACTCCCAACTTAGTTGAATTAATTTTTGGAATATTTAAAATACGCTAATAAACTCCAAGATTATAAAGGGAGTTCTCAAAGGAGCCTTATAAAATTGCCAAGTGTGGATTTTGGGTAAATTGTTCATGAAAGTAAGCCTTATTTCGGTAAAATGGTTTGAGGCCAGCTGAGCCACCTTCCCTCCAGTCCCCGCGTGCCCCAACACACACTTACATTCCTATCCCCAGAAATGGAGCTGGGCTACCTGCCCTGCTCCCAGGGAAGCCCAGCTCCCAGGCCTCAGTGAGACCCACGCTGGGCTGAATCTGAAACCAGAGGGAGTCCTTGGAGATGTTTGGCCTTTGAGGGGGCTGGGAACAGGGTGGTCTTGGAGCCAAGGAACAGTCTGGGTACTCAGGTGTAGCGGAGAAGGATAAGCTCCAACAGAAGCCTCAGAAAGGACCCTAGCCCAGTGCCATATTCCACAGACATGTCTAGAGACTGCTGTGGAACCCTCACTTGCTTGCCAGCCCTGGGGCCAGAAGGCCTGAATGGCCATACCCTGAGATCAAGAGGAGTTTGTGGAATGCAGAGGGCTGTTTCCACCTTACCTGGTTCAGCAAGATCTCCCGTGACAGCCATCACTGGCTCCTTCTGCTCCTTGGGGATCATCCTGCAGGGGAGAAACTCCCACAAATGGCTCCAGGAAGCCTCCTTTTCTTCCTCAACCCCCCTCTAAGTCCTTGTTACCCAGCCCCAGCCCTGAGTTGATCATAATCACAAGCAAAGGCTAGAGGAATTGAAGGACATTTGAGGACTCTATAGGAAGGAGGAGACTGGACCCAGGAAGCCACACAAATCAGAGGCCAGTTTACTGGGAAATCACTCTCTTTAAGGATTTCTCTTTAGGGTCCTGCCTCCATGCCTAGGGCTTCAGGGGTGGGGAAGGCACAATTGTCATCTGTTAACCAAATTGCTCTAATTGGACACTGGGGGAGGTTGGGGGATCGTGAATCAGGCCAGGGGTCTACACACTGGTCTTGAGGCTAGTCCAATCATACAGGCAATCACATCCTCCTCTGTCTCTCCAAGGCAGCAGAGTTACCTCTGGGAAATGCCAGTATAACCACCTGACTCTACCAACTCCATCTCTGCATCCCCTTTGTAACAATATCCTTTTGGAAATCTGGCCCCTGCCTACCTGTCCTAATTCAGTTCCTAGCATCACCTCAAGGCCCCAGCCCTCAGCTGTCCCTACCTGTCTTCTCTTACTCTTCCTTCATCCCTCTCTTGCTTTCCAGGAATCTTCGAGCAGATTCACAAACACAAATCCCAGAAAACCTGTGTGAGTTCTCAACCCAGTTTCCCTAACATGGATCAGAAAAGGAAAGCCAACCTTGAGTCCCTCATCCCTGCCTGCTCCTGTCAGTGCCCCTCTTTTTGGCTTCCAGGTCTTCCCATGCTCCATCTGTGTCCCCATACACAACAGGACCCTGGTGGACACTGGCTGAGGGGTTCAATAGGCTCCCTTGACTTTCTCTGCACTGATGAACAGGTAATTCACTGGCTCTGTGCCTCAGTTTCCCCTTTATAATTTAACAGTGCTGGTTGTACTAAATGGCAGGAATGGGTCTCAGGGTGTCCATGTACCTCTAAAACTGAATGCAAACCCGAGCATGTCTGCACACAGTTGAGGGTTAGGGTCACAAGATAATTGACAGGCGCCAACTATGACTAATCTGAACTAGAATACCACAGCCCTCAGATCTGACACCAGATAAACATTCACAGGATCTCAGCAGGGCCCCTAATTCAGAGTCAGGGAGTTGTCTCTTTGCAGTGCCTAAGGATCCTGGAGACTGAGAGAGCCATTACCTCTCCCTCACCTTTAACCACAGCCTTCCCATTTGATGTCCAGGACCCTGGAACTTATAGTTCCCTTCTTCCTAATGCAGACCCTATGCCTCTGTGAGGCCCAGACTCTCCAGATCCCCTGCAAGGCACTGAAAATTACCTCATCTCCTCTGCCCACTCCTCCTAGGTCCCAAGAGCTCCCAAAGATGAGAGGATAATGCCTGTACCTGATGGGGCCACAGTAGGTGGGAAGGAATGTCAGACCCTCAAGATTAACACCTCAGTCGGGGAGCTGGAGTTGTATGGTCAGTGTCTATTGCAGTCTCCCTGGTCAGCGATCAGTGAGCAGGGTGTGCCCTACAGCCAGTGCTGGCTTCAGCTGACAAGAATCACTCTTGCCTCGTCCACGGGTCAGCCTTATTTCAGGCTGCAACAGGAGCCGGGGCCAGATGCTAAGAGCACTGGACTCTGGGGAAGACAGGTGTTCCGGCATCAGGCCCTTGCAAACAGAAGGCTTTGCACCCCCTGGCTACACACACAATCACATTAGAACTCTTCAGTCATCTGGGAATGCTGGAGATTGGCTGCATTTGTTGAAGCTTGGTAACCGCTAGTGTCTAGAATAATGTCTAGTAGAAATTCAATAGATGTTTGCTGCATGAATGAAGTATGGGTGGATGGAAGAATAAATGAATTAATTGTTCACCAATATCTTTTCTTGACTTTTCCTTCCTTCTTCCCTCTCTCTCCCTCCTTCTTTCATCTCTCCTTTCCTCCCTCTTGCCTTCCTTCCCTCCTTTCCCCCTCTCCCCACTATCTTCTCATATTCTCTGAGCCTCTATCCATGAGCTAAAAACAAATATGCCAGGACTCTGTCTTCAAGGAGCTCAGCTAGCTCAGACTGGACCAGTAAAACAGCCTTTGTGCTATTACATCTCTAGCGTTGCTCTGAAAGAGCTCAAGGAGCTGGGCGTGTGGTGCCAGCTCGGTGTGCAGGCTGGGAAGACCTCCCAGAGGAGGAGGCGGCACTGGATCTTGGAGGATGCAGGATTTGTGGGGGTTCACCACAGAGAGGCCAGGGATCAGGTGAAGGATAGATCTCTTGCAAAGACTATGGAGGGTTGGCAAGTAGGGCCAGAGATAGAAGCAGAGGGTGGTGCTGGGAGTTGAGGCCAGACAGGTGGGCAGGGGCCAGATTTTCAAAGGAAACAGTGCTGCAAAGGGCTGGTGAAGAGATTAAGCTGGCAGAGAGTGGTGATCAGATTGACATTTCCCAGAAACATCTGCTGTGCACATAGAGGGTTGAAGGGGCCAGACTAGAGGCAGGGAGACTGTGTGGTAGCTAAGAGAGATGAGGGTAGCTGGCTTAAGGTGGAGACAGAAGCGATGGGGAGGAGAGGATATTGAGGGCACTTGGATAATACCCATGTCTTGGAGATGGTCTGGAAATGGAAGGTGTGGGGAAAGAGGAACAGGTGGGGGTGGGGTCAGGTGGTGAGCTCATTCCATCACGGATGAATTAGTTTGAGGTACTGAGAACTGGGTAAGAGGTAAGGGAATGAAGCCACCAGCAGGCAGATATTGACTGCACTCAGGACAGGCTCCAGCAGAAATTACGACTTGTTAGGGGCACACAAGTCAGTCCTGGGGAAGGTGGGCACATTAAGAGTTCCCTGGAAACAGAAAAGCAAGCACCTGAGTCCATCAGTGAGGATGGCTCCAGTGGCCTTTCAGACACCCACCTGGGGCAGCATCCTGAGCTCTGCTCTGAACTCAGCTTTCTGCCCCTTGGGTTGCTCAGCCCAGTCTCTGCTGAGCCTGAATCTGTAGGGTAGGGCTAAGGGATGTCCTCACCTAGAAGTAAGAACACAATCGCTTTCTCTGAGCCAATGGGAATTCGGTCCCTGATGACCCTGGTCTCATTATAGTTGCCTAAACTCACATGGAATCTCCTAGAATCCTGATTTCAATGAAGAATTGGTAGCAGAGCACTGGACCCTGACCCAGCTTGGCTCTGCCTACTCCAACAACAACATTCCTGTAGCAGAACTACTTACTCCAAGGCACTACTTAGATCAACTCTCCCATCACTCAGACGGGGAAGCCAAGACATGGGGAGGGAATGGCTTAATCAGATCCACCTAGTTAATCAATGACAGCACCTAGGCTTCAGTCCAAGGATGTCTATGGTCCCAAGTTTTTCCACCTGTACTTATGACTTCCAAACTCCAAGAGCATGTGCCTCAGATATTCTGTCGATGGATATATATTTGGGAAGAAGAGAACGGCTTCCTGAAAGGCAAAAATGACACAGGAGGCAGAAGAAAGAAGGAAGCATTTATTGCTCTGAATTCTATAAGAGGCTTGAGGTGGGTTACAGGCAGGTCTAGTGTGTAAGAAGAGACCATAAGGGAGAAGGCAGTCACTATGCCAGAACAGCAGGAACAGTTTCTCAAAGCTTCCTCCTGCTGGTTCTCTGAGGAAATGCAGGTAGAAGCCGGTCTATGCCGCATCATCAGCTAGATGTCTAATAGTGTCTCTTCTCTGCGAAGCGTTCCTAGCCTGGGACTCTTTAGCTACAAGGGATGCTGCAGCAGGTAGGGCCTTGGTAAATGTGTCCATTTATTATTATTAACTGAGCTGAGTACCCTTTCATCTCCCCAGTAGGGCCAGGTGCCCCACAATGGGCATTACGAAACTCTCCTTTATCCCAATGCACTCCATGCCAACCCTGACGAT